ATATACAGTTTTCATGAAAAGAAAGCAGGCGAAACTCGATAAAAATTAATTAATAAGTAGCTTAAACATGTAATTCTTGAAAATAATACGTGACCATATTCAATACATTTATGTCGCATTATTATTTAAAGAATCCGCAATCGGCGCGATAAGGTAGAATGTCAATGTTATCCACAAAATTAAACAAAAATATGGATTTACGGGACTACACTTTTCGTCTTTATATGAGAAGATTTTTCAGTCAGGAGGTACCTCTTTAGAAAGAGGAAAGTTAAATTTGGTGTGCTGTGGTCACGATTTAGTCAAAATATGATGACATTCAGTAATATAAGCAGTACAACATAGATGGAAAAATCGTATTTACAATGTCACCCTTTATAAGCAAATTTATACCTAAAAGAGATCGTTCTGAATGAGATCAAGACCAAGATTTAACTTTCGTCTTTTTATGGAGGTACCTGACGACTCAAAAATTTTGCATACCCATATCCCATTGTTGCTTGGTTATCGATAGAACAGAGCAAAAAACGTTAATATTTTACCGACAAACGTTAGAGAAGTCATGTGACTATCCTAATCGCTTAATCTTGAATATACGTGTATTCAATATCAGTGGAATGCTAGATTCATAAAAATGTAGGTCATTCGCACTTGGTTTGACCAGAGATTAGATTTAACTACAGATTTGGATTTGTAATAGAGAGGTAATCCCGACAATCTTTAAATGTACGTTTGCGGGAAGAGGACTTATTCTGGCCTATTTTTCTCCACAAATAATAGTTAAAACAGAGATGGGACAGAAATATTATGTAACAACTTAACGACAGCAATTTTCTCTGCCTGTAGAGAGTGTCTCAACGAAATGTATACATAGTTATTAAATAGTATCCGTAGATTCTATTACATTTTGAAAATGAAATGTATTTTAATTAACACCGACTTTGTGATTATTTAAAGTGTGTACGCATTTTTTTAGACATCCTGTCTATATAAGCTCTGGGATTTAGACTGGAATCAGAGATCATTAGAACGATTGCCAGTAAGTCCGATCTTTGATAGAATGAGATAGATTTTTGATAACCATAAACTACCGCCTCTAACGGCAAATGTCTGAATCGTACTCATATTTTGAGGGGAGTAATGATATTATGGTTGCAAGAGTGCGCGCAATTTACTTCCTTCGAAAAGTATATGCGCTCTGACTCTCACTACTATTACTTGGATATTGAATATGGATACGGTTCGTTCGGAGGTTCATCGTTAGAGACGGTAGTTTATTATGGCTCAAAAATCTGATCGTACTAGATCAAGCTCATTGGTAATCTTCCTACTCATCTTTGCTAGAATTTAGGCTGGAATTTATAGTCATTTACCGGTTTTCGGTAAGTCAGTTCTCATTTCCTAACTGCTCATTGCATATCTAAATTGTTTTAAATGATTTACTTGAAGATATTATTATATTATCATGTCTTCAATCATTGTGGATTTTTGGGCCAGATTCACTTTTCAATAAAACTTTAAAAAGTATTAATTAATAACAAAATCTGAAGCATTTAAGAATATCGATTTTCATCAATCTTGTATCACGATAGACATATATAGATATGTAACAATGCAACAAACAGGACTGAGAACTAATTCTAGATAGTAACCTAATGAAGTATTTACACTACGATTTCCGTCCGTATACCCGCGGAGACTTTTTAGAGAATTTCGTCGATGCCGATTTTTCAGCCACTAAAACGCAGGTAATCCAAGCGGTTAAGATTATGGATCAAATCCCCTACTGTCATAGGTAGCTAAAAAAATCTCCGCGGAAATTTTAATGTGGATGTTTTTAATTTTATGTGGATGAAAAATTTCCTACGGAGAAATTCCTATGGAGATATCATCGGAAATGCGCAGTGTTGGATGACTAACTCGTAACTAAATCAGTATTGATATAGTCTTACTCAGCAACAAATAACTCTAAACATTCAAAACGTAGATAATGAACTTTACTTAACGATAAACGACCCTAAAACTATCCAAAAACATCCTTACTAATCCTATCCCAAACATCCCCACTCCTACCCTGCTTTGACCATTAGCCCAATTACTCATATTATATTATACTTAATACTTCATGTTTTGATTAGTTTGAATTGATATATGAATGTTGAAATTCGAGGTTTCGAAATTTTTTAACTACGTGCGACAGCTGGGGCTCTGACCCGAAATCGTAGTGTGAATGTTCCCTAAGAATGTTGACTAATACAAATTATACGACTCGGTCAGTGATGTCTCACTGGACTCGATAGAATGCTAAATAGGTTGAACCTTTTCATCTCTGGTTGAACGAACCGAGGTCTGTATATGGGTTTTAGGAATTCGCCAGACTTCGTAGTTTACTCTAAATCGTAATTATATGTAAATGTATGTAGCTCAAGTAGTAAAGGTTTTTGCGAAATGTTTATTGATCTTCGTATAGGAAACAGAAGCCTCTATTGTATCATCGAGCAGAACTGAATAAGAAAATGAATTAAAAGTGAAGTAAAAAAATTGAAGTAAAAACAGTAAATATTTTGGTCAACACCATTAATCAGTATATTCCTCTTTACCTTTACATAGCACGTAGCAGACACAGGCGGATTAAGATAAGCGGACTAAGCGATCGCGTGGGGCCCTGGGTAGCCAAAGGGCCCCGGAGGAGCCCGAAGATCATCATCAATCATCATAAAAATATCTTAACTTAAAGATTTTAGAAATAACCGAAAAGGTTCAAACAACGCTCCTTAAAATAATCAAACAAATCTAAAAAGAAAATGTTAAATTTATGGCCTTTAATTTGTACTCTTCAACTATTTATTTCAGTACATGTTTGATAGTAACGCAAAGTAGAAC